CCCCCCCATTAGCCATATCATACATGTCTACATTTCTGACAGGGGGAGGGAACAATGCTGCTTTTAAGTTTATTCTCTCCCCCCCACTTTTGGAAAGAAAAAAAAACAGGCATATTTTATATTTATCTAACACTATGCAGTACAGGATTTACTACTGGCTGTGAGCTAGGAAGAGTTATATTTTTGAGGGGTAGAGTGTTGCTTCTTTGTACACTGTTTTTTATTCAAATGTTCTCTTTTAGTAAGCAGTCTGTTTCTCTGCCAGAGATACAAAAATGATTACATGATACTCTTGACTTTGTCCTGTGGTGTTTATCTATTGCTGTGATAAATCCAACTCTCCTTAACATATATAATTTTAAATCTACTAAGAAGCGGGCTTTCTTGTAGCCTTAAGCGTTTCTAATTAGATAATTCCCTCCAAGCTAGTGATTGGGCACCAAAGCAATATTTATAATCTAGTAAGCATTTAGGGCTTAGTCCTGAAATGTGGCAGTGTTACTGTGCTTGTAAAAGCTGCAACACACCACTTTCCAGGTATAGCATATCTTGCTGTAGCAGAAGATGGGATTGAGCCTTATTGTGCTCCTGTGGTTACTTGCACTCTTCTTATTTCTACATTCCTGTGATTATTCCAAAGGATGACTGCAGAAGGAAAAGGTGCGTTTTTTGGGTTTTTTTTTAAATGCCTGGAAAACTAACAAAGTATGAAATAAACACTTGGTCATGGAACTTTGTATCAACAAATAGTCATTTTTTGTGTATATGTAAAGAACCTTTGTTTTAAAAAAGAAAGTTACCACACTCCTGTATTTCAGAAAACTCATGTTGCATTGCGGAAAAAGTTAATGAAGAAACTGGTTTTGGTAGTCTGAAATATAAGGAGTGGGAAGAGTAGATGCAGAATCTTCAACAGGTATATGCACTGTCCTCATAAATTCATTGGATTACAGTTAATCTACCTAATTCGGTTGAATTTGATGCATACCTGACTAAAATAGTTTCAGTAAGGTGGTAGAATATTTGACATATCCTGTATTAGCAGATTCTTATAAGAAGGAAGTGTATTGCCTATAATTATTTCAAGTGTGAACATGCATGCATGTTGCAGCTTGAACCTGCAGAATGTTTGTAAAGGGCACAATTTTTGCCTGTTGTATAAATCTGTAACATCTCTCTTTTTTTTTTTTAATGGCAATGTAATGCACTTTATGCACAAATTTATTTTCTAATCTTGTGCAATGTCATTCATCTTGGCATCTTTTTAAAATTGTTTTCAGATACTTTCTATAATAGCCATAGCTTGTATTTTGCAAGTGTTGGAATGTACACTTAAAATACAGGATCTCGAGTGGTTCATGAGAACTCTTAAGCCAGGTTTGGAATAAGGAAATATAGGCCCTTATTCTCTCTTCTCTCCCTGTTTTCTCCCACATACATAAGATGCTCTTTCATATCCACTAAAATAAACTTTTCTCCAATACCTTCAGGAAGTTTTCTGGCAGAGCCAGCAATAGTTTATAAATATTTATTTTTTTATGATTAAGAAGTGTGTGTTTGAAATAGTTTTAAATTGACAGTACCAAAATGATTTCCTTTCTAATGGCTTCTGTTTTTTTTAAAGCTTCTCATGATGTCTCAGATGACACTAAGTTCTGACAGCCCCCCACTGCTTTAGTTGGAAGACTCTTTTGTTTTGAAAAAAATGTAACTTTCTCTTCATACATTCTCCCATTGGTTTTGCCTGCTGAGATTTAAGGCTACAGTCTCTCCTTGTGCATTTTATCAGTACACTGATTATTTTTTCTTTTTTTTCTTGAAAGGGGTGTTCATCAGGAATATATAGTCTTAGCCCTTGTGTCACTTAGCCTATATGATCACATATTGAGTTTTCTGGTTAGCATTAAATTAATATTTGGCCTTTATCTTCATAGCAATGACTTTTTGTGGGAATGCCAGCATAGGCAGCAGCAAATGACTGCCTGTAAATACTGTTAAAAGCTTTAATGCCTGTTTCCATCTCCAGGATTAGTCCTTTGAATTGCTAAAGGATAGAACAATTCAGGGAAAATGTACATCATATTCTAGTTACCTATAGTTGGAGTTCATAAGAGCAGGTTTTTGTGGTTTTTTTTTTTTTTTTTTTTTTTTTTTTTTT